TGTGTGTGTGTGTGTGTGTGTGTGTGTGTGTGTGTGTGTGTGTGTGTGTGTGTGTGTGTGTGTGTGTGTGTCACATCAACTTTTGGGAAGTAACAGAGGACTACAGAAAAATGACACTGAAAAGAGGGAAAATAAAAAATCTACTGGTATGGCGTACTGTGCTGCCTGTATTTGACAGCCTGAGCACAGACCCTCCCCAACACCCTCCCGACCCCTGTGTCCTGTTAAAAGACCCCCGCCCCTTCCATCATCCCCCTCAGTCCTCCAGGACGATGGGTTCGCTGGTGCTGGAGGGGAGCAGGGGCATGGCCAGGGAGCGAGGGGGTGGTGGCAGCTTGATCCGGACCAGCAGATGAGGTTTTCTCGCTGCCCGACGCATCTCTGACTGGGTCAGATGTTTCCTCAGAGCCCTGGGTGAAAGAAACCAGCAGGAGAACAACATCATGGTCTGTACATGAAATGTGAGTGTCTGGGGGGTAGTTTAAAAAGTTGGTGGGAGCCTCAACCGGTGTGTAGACATTTATTGTCTTCTGGTTTTGGGTGTGCATGCTTTCATATACTTTCTGTACAAAAAACGAGCGATTACAGTGGCACAGTAGTGGAGCAGCATGTCTATGATTAAGTGAACTCAATAAGTGACAGACTTATTTTGGCTCATTAGTTTTTACTGAAACAAACTGTTTAAATGATGGTTGACCTGCTGTTGTTGCTCCCACATTTCAGGAGCAGTTTTTATCTACTGGCTTGATTACGACCCAACTGCTTGTTTTTCTCACCCTGCTGGAATACTTATAAGTGATGTGACTGTGTTGTTCACTGATGTCAGAATTTTATGTGTACTATGTTATTGTAACTTTAACAAAAGTTGGAATAAACCTGATTTTCCAGCTCTTACAACATTCTGGACGGATATGATATAACAAATATGAAACAACTTGTTTCTTAGTGAGTTTCACAGGAGCTGGATGGAGATTATTGTTACAGGCTAGCCGTTTCCCCGGCTTCCAGTCTGAATGCTGAACAAGCTAAATGGCTGCTGGCTGTGCAGAGATGAAGCTATGCTTTAGGTAAGCATGAAGCCTAAGCACAGGGTCGAGAATTCCTAGTTTAGTAGGTGAATGCGAGTCTCGCTGCGATTACACCACCAAAACGCTAGTGGCGGTAGAGTTTCTATGCTGGTGTTGAGTGTCTTCCGATTTCTGGTCCACTTATTTACAAATTCTGAGTTTGTTGGACCACGCGGACCATTCATACAGCTTGTGGACTGCGTCGCCTCGACCCATAGTTAAATTTTGGGGGAGGTGCATGTCAGGATACAGCATAGGGCTCTGCGTAGGGTACACGTCTACGCTTAGGCTTGACAAGAATTGGGCCTTATGGCCTCATGCGAGCTGATCTGTGTTTAGAGAAAGTGGGGAGTAAATGGTGGTGGTCTATATCACAACAAACTACAACAATTTAATTCAGTGCCATCCATGAAAGCACAGTCAGTGTATATAGACGGATGGCAGGTGCAGCGCAGTTTATTTTACTGCCAGAGACAGCGAAATGTACCTAGTGTCCTTTGTAGCCACAAACACCACAGGGTTGGGAGCTTCGCCCTGGCTGACCTTCTGCCGCTTGATGACCGACTGGGAGGTGGTCCTCATACCTGAAGTATACGGCCTCCCATTGGCTGGGTAGGGTACTCCTGTAGCCTGTGAACCAATGAAAAACAAAAATAGTTGGTCACTCATGTGGTTCATTTGAGCAACCACAGCAAGTAAGTAAAGTTGCTTATGTGAAAATGACAAAAGATAGGCTAAGATTGAATGATATGGCCAGGTTTACTTTGAAAAATCATTAAGTTGCAAAGGAAAATGTGCTGAAGTTGAATTTCAACAGTCACAGAGAAGTTGGGGTGTTCTACTGTAGCCTATGTGAGCATATTTTATTTAAAGATAAGCAACCCATGCTGGAATGTGTGAGAAATACTGACGCTGTCGAAGCCCCTCTTTCCCAGCAGGCTTTGGCCCACTCTAGGCTGGCTGGCCTGGTTCCTGTTGATGGGTGTCGGGGGTCCTCTGGATGCCTTCAGTTTCAGAGGAGCTGAGATGGCTACAGAGACACACAAACAAATAATCAGACTAGAGGACAGATAAGGCAAGAGTAGCTGTTTGGTATTAAGAGGGTTGTAGAAAGGAGTGGTGGTATCGTGACGTGCCCTTACCTAAATCCTTCACTATAGTGGCCAGTGACGGTCGAGGCACCACTTTGGTCTTTAGAGGTGTTTTTGTGGCTTTGGGAAGCCTGATCATACCTGAACAAACACACATGTCCAGTCACTCACTGACATACAGCACATTTAGACTCAGAATGGACTAAAGACATTGCATTAGGAAACAAGGGAAAATCTGTGTGCACATACACTCAGCCTTGACCGCATTGGAGTTGATGGAGGCGTAGGGTCGCCGTGCAGCGCGGCGAGGCTGCAGGATGTCCTCACACACCCGCCGAGCGATACGGGTCAGCTTGGTGGTCTGCAGGATGAACGTCTGGCGGTTTTTAGCCAGCAGCTTTGCGCGACCCTCATTGCGGGTGAACGGTGACATGCCCTGCACCTCCTGGCGTGTCATGTGACCACGGGGCCCTGACTCCTGGACAGAGAAGGAGGGGAGCGACCAAGAGGGATTTAGGGTGCACGGTTTATTCTGTCATGTTTTTAACCAATGTAAAACACCTAAGAAGAGATCTGAGAAAAAGGAGACTTACAGAGCCACTCCTGGCAGCGCCCTCTAGCTGTGTGGGGGTCTTCAGGCCCCCATACTTCTTCCAGTAGATCCAGCAGGAGGCACATAGTCTGCACTGCATGTTGGGAGGCCCCCAAGCATACCACTGAGGAGACTGGGCCGCTAGGTTAGAGACAGGGCAGTTTATGTTAGGAGGGCATCTCTGGATGTTGTGCTGGTTTATAGATGGAGTGTTCAAAAATAAGTCTGCAGCTTCATTGTGTGGAACTCAAGAGACACAGCAATAATCTGCTTCACTCTTCCAACATTGTACACTTGGAATCCATTGTAGTTAAAACACCATGTCCATGAACTGTTGATTGTGAAATGTATGTGTCTGCATTAGTCATAACAGGAAGTGAACATTCATTTTGTCTTTGACCACTGACGATAAAAGCAACTCGAGTTTAGCAGTACGGCGATATGATGATATATTTTTGTCAATAAAAAAATAAGTAAATAAGTAAAA